TATTATACGGAATTTATACGACGGACTACACTGAGAAGTGGTGCATGAAGGACAGCTGACAGATGCATTGCAAGTAAGGATCGGAGTCAGAAAGTGCTGCTTACGGTATCTCACCCATTCTCTTTCTTCTGGTTTGACTGGATTATGAGGACCTCGACATCTGATTGGATGTACGTGATATAATCGAGCGCTTGAAAGCAAATAGACAATTTGGATTTGCAGACTACCTATCTCTTTTATCTCATAAACACGAACAAATGCAGTTGAATACAGCCAGTATGACAACAGCCTCGATATTAGTAGACAAAGAAAACATCCTTAAATGCAACACAGAGAGCACCAACCAAATGACGGTTGATGAAGAAACTCTGGAAAATGTGAAAACTTTCGCGTACCTGGTCAGCAGCATCATCGATGGATGGAGAGGATCCAATGCTAACGTAAAGGTGAGGATTAGCAAAGTGAGGACAGCATTCCTACAGTTGAACAACATATGCAACTCAAAACAACTATCTGTCAACCAATATTAAAGTAAGAATCTTTAATACGAACGTCAACACAGTTCTGTTGTATGGTGTTGAAACTTGGAGAACTACTACAACCATCAATAAAAATTTACAAGTATTTGTAAATAATTGTCTATTTATCAAGACGAGCACCAACTTAGAATCATGAAGGGAAACTGAAAAGAGGACGGCTAAATAACACACTGCATCTAGAATTGTAAACAGACATGAAAAGGACGAATAGGAACTGGAAAGAACTAGAAAGGATTATTGAGGACAGAGTTGGATGTTGATTAGTAGTGGGTGGCCTATGTTATTCAACATGGGGTAAATGGCGTAAGTAAGTAGGTAGGTAAATAAATTAGAATCAAATTCTGATTGGTGACTAGCTACATGGGCATTGGTCGGTGGGTTTCAATCTATAACAGTAACCATTAAATAATCATCATATTTAATTAAACATTATCGAACTATTACAAATCAATCATAGTGAAGAATGAAACAGAAAAAAAATGGATAAAATTCATTCATCCTACCAAATAATGATTCTCATCTCATTAATTCCTTTATACTCTAATATTCTTTTTCGATGTAAATGTAAAACTTTCATCATTCATGCTTGTTCAAATGGATTATCATTATTACAAACATGATACGCTTGTTTGTGCTTATTATTATTATCTATAATCAATAAATGATTATAAATATTATTGAAGGAATTAATTAAACACGCTTTTTTCCTAAGTGGTGATTCTATGTCTATTGGTATACTAATTAACAATACAATCAGAATGTAAGTTTGTTATCGTTGAAGATAATGATGAGAAAGAAGAGGCCGAGAACGATGACGATGTTGATGATGATGATGACGATGATGTAAAAGATGACCCTGACAGCTTTATTGATCGATACATATACTCTAATGGAATCTTATTCTTCTCTCTTTTTTTTGTTTAAATCCCATAATCTCATTAATGTTAATTTATTCGAAATGCAGTCATCTAAATGGAATATCGATCAACGGAGGTGATCTAATTGGCTTTTGTTGAAAAGACACATCCACGCACAAATATACGGATGTAGCGTATAGATATGTGAGTCATAAAAATAACGATTCAATGATTTTAAAGAGATAATTTATGTTGTTACAATGATGAGATTTGTTGAGGTCATTAGTGATAATAATAATAACAGTGATGATGATAATGATAAGCAACACAGAATTAAACACAAGCAATACTATTCGAAAAAACATGAAACTTGCGAAGAAGGAAAAGAAAAAAGAAATAAACATTCATAGTTGTATAGTAAGTGGAAATCAAATCATTCATATACATTCCTAGATACACAGCACACAGCAATAGGTTAAGTATTAAGTAAGACCATTACATTTCAAATTATTATTGTCATTATCGTTATTATCGTCATAAATATATCGAATAAGTCCGTATTTTAATCACAAAACAAGCATTCCAATAAAATAAAACCAAAAAAAAGAGAAAAATCAGTCGTTAGAGAAATTCAATGGCAATTATGAAAACACACCCAACAAGCTCAATTAAGATTTTCAACGAAAAAGAAAAGCAAGTTAGAAACACAGTTGTATGGATTACGTTTGACAAAATAAGAGAAAGGCTTTAAAAAAATTATAGAAAACCAATTAATTATTCAGTTAATTAATGTGAAATTATATTTATTACTTAATTCGAAACAAGGTAACGATGTTTTTATATTAAACATTTTATGCTACTTACAAGTAGTAAAATTTATAATCGACAAATGTTTCGACGTTTGGTAGGTGCGAAGATTTTTTAACGAATGTTTTAATCATATATTAGTCTCCAGTAACATATAAACAACTTGTTTGTTTGCAATATTTTAGTTGTATAGTAGAGGAATAGATATTGTATGAAGTTTATTTATTGATATCAAAGTAGGGATGAATAATTTAGATTGTTTTGTTACTATTCATTTTGTTCTTACGCTACAGTTTAATTTTAAATGTTTTAATAAAAGTAATCAATTTGTTACTTCTAATTTATCCTACCTAATACATAACTACTAAATAATTCCAGTAAAAAGTTCAGATTCCAAATGAGTTAAGATTGTATAAGTGTTTGAAGTAAACAAATGCTATGTGATTGGTTTGTATAATGAATCCATCCTTAAAATGCAATTTCTGAGTAAATTCCTATCAGTACTAACTTTTGAGATGGGATCGTAGAATGAAAAAACTTGAATATATTTGCTTATTTTATTTAATTGAATGATAAATTTGTCTGTGATACTTATCGCATACGAGTACTAACTTAGGAAAAAAATATAAGTGAACTGAGCTACTAAGATTATTGAATATGGACAGAATTAAGTAAACGAAATTCATGAAATACTGATGGCTGTTTATAGAGATGATATATCGAAAAAAAATCCCTATCCTTCCAAGTGGACCAAGCAGTTCAACGAAAGTAAGGATGACACACACCCAGGACGACTGTTGTTCTAGTGTGTTTGTGGAAATATTGAAAGTGTTCAGCATTTTCTGTTTCCTGATTGGTTCACTGTACAGATGATTACTTATGAACAATTCCATGAAATAAATGTTTAAAGTTAAGAAACGATGAGGTTACTGAAAGTTATGATATCTTACGGCTGTGAGATATTATCTGAACAATGAAAATGAAGATAGGAGAAGTCTATTACCGAAAATGATAAGGGAATAAGATTGATGTAAACTAAATTTCGTGAAATAATGTTTTTCTTCTTAAATTCTAGTTCACTCACTTATTAGTTAGATGACGTAACCAAATTTATAAGTTTCCCTCTAATTCCATAATCACTATTCTATGATACATCAATTAGTTAAACCAATCGTTTAACTATTAACGAGTCAGACCTCACTGGTGGATCTGCCAATTTATTGCAAGTCATTTACTAGAAAATATAACTTTATAAATAAATATACCATAAGTGAATGAACCATCGTCATATAAATAAGCAAAAATTATCTTTCCTATATTTCCCTAGTTATTCATAGCTGTAAGATTCATTAGTGGATTCAATTCAGTCATAAGAAAGGAAAGGATACATGTATCACATATTTCATTCATTAAGTTCGTAAATTATAGTATACAGTGAATAATGAACCATTAACATGAATGAAAATTAAAGCATATATAACATGCTCTACCAAGCTAATATCAAGATAACAGACGATCACTTAAACCATATCATATTTGTTAAAAGAAGCTAAAAAGGTATAGAGTTATACGAATATAAAATGTTATGGTATTTCATTAATCTACTCACAAATCATGAGTATAAAATTTCTTTGGATCATTCAGTGAATATTATCCACATTAATCAATCTTTCAGCTGTAATCGATATTAGATCATTTAGTTCTCTTAGCGTTAATTGAATCCAATTAGACGTATTCTAATATAGTTTTCCTAGATATCACGATGCATATTATTTCTTGTTGAGTGGTTGCTATTATAATATCTAGACGAACAATATATGAATAGTGACCTATTAGTTACTGTTATACGACTTATCATTCTTAATTTATTTCTTATTTGTTAGTTACAGTATTCCATACTCACAACCACTTTTTTGACTTGGTCTTATATAATCATTATTTTTCATTTTATAGTGTGATGCGGTCTTGTGTGTTTGTATACAAACCAAGTATGTCTGAAATATACAATTCAAATAGATGAGTTTGATATTTGTGTTCTGGACTCAATAGGCTAGTCTAGGTGAGAAGCTACTAAACTCAAGATCAATAAGGACTCAAAACTGCTAACGCTGTTTTTTGACGCATCATTGGTTTAGCTTAGGGATAAGCTCATAGAAGTCGGTATTCTGATTGGCGGTTCTGTCACGTCATACGTAACGGACCATAGGACATCACAATCTCAAACTATCTCAATCCTACAGTTATTTAGTTACATACTAATTGTCTGAGTGATGACACCTATGATTGTGATGCTACATGGCATAAAGATTTGAATATTAAGGGATGTATCAATTTCTTTGATGTTGCAGATATGTCTGGTTGATCCGTCTCAACTAGTATGAAGCCTAGCTTCGGGGATTGCTGTTGAACATTTCCAGCCGTTTTACATCACAACTGGTGTTGCTATTGATAGTTTCCGTCTATATCATATTCTTAACTCTAAAAATTTAGTATTCAATGATTTCATGGACTTCTTGTCAGTTTTATTAATACTATATTAACCCGTATCACAGTCAAAGATCTACATATTATTCAAACTGCATTTCATAGATGCAAAATATAAATGTTAATATTTCTTTCATAAACAAGCACCCATAAACACATACACACCCATAAATGTTAACAAGCTTAACACTAGTAAATTGTCACGAAAATGCATTTCTGATTATTTACACAAAGAAAAAGAAAAATAGAAATGTTTAAATAAATAAAAAAGAATAATAATACTACTAACAATAACCAATACATGACTACTTACAAGTAGCGGATAAGCTGATGGTGCACCAGTTTGATTGGTAAGAGCTAATGCAGCTGGTGTTGTATAAATTAACTATAAGAAAAAAATGATAATTGGAAAAAAAATCAATTAAAATGATCAATTAAATAAATGAACAAATAATTCACAATAAATTTTTATCATCTCTAGATTGTGACTAGTGACAGAATTCATACGGCATGTTTCGTCTTAACTAGGACTCATCAACTATAAAACGATAACATATCCTTAATTGATAAATCCTAAAACAATACAAAACATCAGTTTTGAATTCTTCTATTAGTCTTAACCAACTATAAACATAACCTAAATAGAATGTATATATATATAGATGTGTTCATAGAAACTGACTAATTACAGAATTCTCTTTTCAAATAAAAATAATTATTATTGTAAATTTCACAGATTGAAATCATGAGTCAATTGAAGCTAGACCATCATGGAAAACCTGGAAGCATTAGACGGCCGTTTCGTCCTATTATGGGACTCCTCGGTAGCGCGCATCCACGACCCCGCACCCCTTGAGGTTCCAACCCAGAACCTATCAGTCTCGCACCAGGCGCTTAACTAATTTGACCACTGAGCTGGCATCATTTCATAGTTAGTGAAATTTGCAAAATCTCCACAAAACCCCTTCTGATAATAATCATCTGCTTACTAGTAACTGACTTCAAGAAATACTCCTGGAGTTCTAGTGAGAAGCCGTTACCAGTGTAGTTCAACCAGGTCTGTTGTGAGATATCAACTCACCGAAGACAATGGTGTACGGTGGCGCAATTTCGTGGATTGGTTGAAGTTAGACATTAACACCGTCGGATGCCGGCCGGCTCAGTGGTCTAGTTGGTTAAGCGCCTGGTGCGAGACTGATAAGTCCTGGGTTGGAACCTCGCGGGGTGCAGGGTCGTGGATACACACTGCCTAGGAGTCCCATACTAGGACGAAACGGTCGTCTAATGCTTCCAGGTTTTCCACGGTGGTCTAGCTTCAATTGACTCATGATTTCAATCAGTGAAATTTCCGCAATCTCAACAAAACCTTTTCTGATATTATTATAAAAGTTAAAACAATGAAATCTCAAACAAAATGCCTCCAATCCCATGAATCAATCATCATCATGAGCATCATCATTATTATCATCACAACTGAACAATCATTTATCATTTGCATTTAAACAAACTGAATTATTTCCAACATACAAAAGTCTAATTTTCTTTGACAATTTCAATTGTCAGATTATTAGTTGAGAGAAAAAAAAATTACCGTCACTTGAAAGACAAAAAGAAAAACTGTATTTAGTTGCTATGTGATCAGTTTTTTTTTTAATTCTTGAATGAGTATACTATTGAATAAGTTTGACATGAGGGGAAAAAAACAGAACAAATGAAAAAAACAGAAGTTGCTATTTAAATTAGACTGAAAACAATGACTTGTGTATGATAATAGGAAATTGAGTTAATAATGTCGAATAAACATTTTTTCAAGAATAGATGATATATACTACTGATAAATTAGAAGCGGAATTAATGAATGTTTCTTCTTTCTGAAAAAGAAAAATCTGCTTAAAGATTTACTGGGAAATATGAGCGAAAGGAAAGTAAGGATAGAACTTAAAAGAAGATTATAGTAGAGAAGAAAAATAAATCTATTTTCATTCAATTTGAATTAAAAGGTGACAAATGATTTGGAAAAATATACCGATTAGAATGTATCTTACAGTCAAGTTGACTATTTTTGTTTAAAACAATATGTTCTTCATTCTTATCATACATTGACAAGTACCATTTTCATGTTACCATTAATAGTGTATACAAATTTACATGTATTTATTAAAGTAGTTATATTGGTAGAATAGACAGAAGAAAGTAAGTTTCGCCTTAAGAGCTTATTGTAAAAGGTTTCAGGTCAATCGGACTAAAGGTTTTTATATGACATAGGTTAACAGGTTGTTATATGTAAACTATACAATAATTTTGATTATCTAAAATATTATAGATTGTAAAAACCTAACGAAATATAATGAATTCATGTTATTCTTCTCTATTCAATTCAATACGTGTTGAACAATAATATCCGTCTATCAATTAAGGGATGAGTATACTGCCAATAGTTCGCCCTGTTCTAATTTACGTCTACGAAACGTGGCCATTAAGAGTAAAAGATACTCATAAGTTGCTAGTATTTGTGAATCTTCATCGACTAAGATGGTTGGGCCACCGATTAACACGACGCGCAATGCTAACCGGTGCTGGAGATGGTTAGAAGAAAGTTAGGAGCGGCCAAACCAAAGTGTAGCACCAGTGCTTGAAGTCACTAACTCCTAGTCTTAGGCATGTTGGTAGATGCAGACTACTTGGTTGTGGTCTGCTTGACTATCGTAACCAATGGTTGGAGACTCTAGGTGAGCTGGCTCAGAATCGATCACAATGGTGTCGGTGTATACACTCTCTGTCTCCCCTTAAACTATAAGATTAAAATCGCTTCGTATATTTTTTTCTATGAACTAATTCTTTCTTCCTGTATTATATTCTAATGCACAATCTTTCCTTTATACATTACTACTATTGAAGTGACCACTTCTATGAATTTGGTGTCCATCTTGTTGTGCTAATAAGGTGTGGCAACTTGGACCAATGCATATATGTGCCTGATCCTACATTGTAACTGACTGACAAACAATAATATTTACCTATAAATTGATATTCCTTGACAATATTAACAATAATCTTATTAGAAAACCTAAAATCTTTGCGTCAAAATTACACTTTTCTTCATTATCAGTATCTACATATCATGAACGGGAGAAAAATGATTTCCGTAAGATTCAACTTTATCAACCAGCCAATTAGGTTTAAGATATTAAGTTTTTAATTTTTAGGGCAAGATTTAATCATCTCTATGGTTAAATAGTATTTTGCCATTATAGCCAATATTGATTCGTAATAAAAACTCGAATTGTAATTACTGACCCCATTTTATCTAAATAAATCTTAATGCATAATCTTCTTTCAACTTTAGTAAATGATTGAAATTTTTCAAGATCATTTCAGAGATCATCATTCAAAGGTCATCCACAAAATTATAATTTCATCATTAAATGAAATAAATTTCTTGACTTGTGACCAAAGACCAATAAACTAGCTATTCTATTGCGTCCCAGACCCGCTAACTAGAGAGAGAAGTCGAAATCCGAACAGAGAAATATATTCCGCAAAAAGTCAGAAGCACGAGCGATAACAACAGACACAAATCAAAGCGTATATATACAGCACAAAACCATCCTTGGGAAGCGTTACAAAATAGCGTACCAAAAGACACAACAGACCGATAGTGTTTAGGATTCTCCCAATTGGGAAATACAACATGGAGGTGAAAAGAGCGCTTTTGGCGCGAAAACAAAGAAATTCAAATTTTCTAAATACAATTACAAAATTAGGTCCTTTTCCACTAAATGTTAAATTTCTGTTATAACGCTCGGTTTTACTACGTCTAATGTTATAACGGTCGGGTTTCCACGTTTACACGTATGGGACGTTTATTTACCTTAGACGAATATCTACACTAGATTCCTTCCCAGTGTCTATTCTACAGGAATTCAACACAACTCGGATCAAGAACACGTGATTAGCTTGACCACAACGTAAATATATTTCCACACCAAAACCCGACACAATCCAACAACAATGAACAATCAATAATAAGTGAGTAGTAATAATAATAAAGATAGGGAATATATAACTCATCTGATACCATTCAGATTATCTACATGACTGGCTAAACAGACAACCAATCATTATCATTCCCGCCAACATATAATATTACTAATTTACGATAGTATTTAATTGATGACACTTTATATTCATATAGTATACAGATTGTTACTTTAGCTTAGTATTTCTTATTATATTTAGTTAACTGTCTACCTACCTACCTACTTAACTGGTTGTTCTTAACTCTTATTAATGACCTAAACAGCAATAAAGTTTGATTGTAGGATTTATTAGTTTTTCATTGTCTTCCGATTTGTGTTGTTTGATTTTTTTATATAGTTGTTTTGTGGGACCCTTTATTTAGGTGTCATTTAGATCGGACGATGTTTGTCGACGTGTTCTCCACTTTAGTGGTCTGGGATCTGACACCAATTAGATCGTATGAATGGTTGTTATTGAATGATTGCTGTCGAAATGCATATGTCACCTATCCTCGTATATAACCATCGACTTAAATCGCGTTAGTCAATAACGGAGTTAAATAAGTCAAATAACGAGGAAGGATTTTTCAATGAATACATTTTGTATATGAAGCGAATGGAATAAAGCGAAGCGAAACGACGCGCAGTGCCGATGGCGGGCAAGCCAACTCCATTTAGTTAATCGTTAATCAATATTTATAGTCACATCATTGGTCACTGAGTGTACACAGACAGGGACTTAGCCTACTGACTATTAAATGTGCAATTTCCTTTCCTATTATGGGTTTCTACGCCTGGCTCACTGAGACTGGCTGCTTGTAATTATGTTGAAATAAAATATTGTCTAGCGTTGCTCTAGCTCTCTATTTCGGTCGTGAATCTGACATTTGGTATAATGTGATCTAGTCTCTCTATAGCGGAATCGTTTGAATATCCAGTCCAGCGGTAGTAAAAATTCTGTCATCCAATCTAGTTTTATTTCCATGTCACGTAATAGATTGGAGTAATACTTCAAATCCGTTCGTTATATCAGTTCAGTTTCTGAATTTCGATAAAACTTCAGTCTACCATTCCTATGCTGTTATGATATCATTGAATGTATTTGATAGAAGTGAATTATGAAGAGTTGACGCTATTTAAAAAAAATCAAGTACAAGGTAATGGCATATTAGTAAAAGTACTAACAGATTTTAATAAGTATGGTCCAGTTCATACCCTTTATTACTTAGTTCAACTCATATAATCAGGGATACTGTAACTAACCCTGAAATAAACAATATGGTTCAAAGTTGTATACTGTTGGGAATGCTAAATACCCAAAATACAATGATTAGAGAAATAAATCAATCTTTAAAATCACTTATCGATTTAAGGTGCTTTATTTTTTGCAATTGACTTCTACTGTATCTTCAATGAAATTTTCTGTTCAACTAAGAATTATTCCATTTGTTAATCTCAATAACTAATAAACATTGAATCGAACCGACAACATGATTGTATAAACTCAAATGTGAATTAATTTTTTCGGTGCACCAATTATGGTGTGTGCTACTTATATTGACACGAGTAGTATGTAATAATAATCAAGATTTGAATGTCTGCTAGCAGAAGATCGACAAGTAAAGAATGAGAACAGAAAGCGATTGGTATAAAAATGCAGGAACAATGAAGTTCTCAGATTTTACTAAGATATTTCATAATTTTGTATTCAAATACATTCGATTGTCCCTACTTGTGTTCTCGTTCACTACACCTACTACCAAGTAAATATTCTTTAGAATATTCTTCTTTTTTTAAAGTATAGCTTAGAAACAAATTGGAAATAAGAGTTGTTATGTTGTGTGATAACAAACCATAATTAGATTGATTATTGTTACCCTAAACACATGAAGTTTATAAAAACTCGAAATTGTTTGTTTTGTTGCTTTTTTTAAAAAAGAAAAAAAACTACAAAACATGCCACCCAAAATCAATATTCATATTAGTTATCGTGCAAACAAAAAAAGGGGGGAATGAGTATCCAAACTGAAATCTACTTGTGTTCTACTCAAAGAAAGAAAGAAAGAAAAAAGAAAGGAAGAAGAAATCTACAAAAATATTAAAGAAAAGAAAATTTGGGAAATTCTTACAATACTACACTACAATTCATTTAATTATAATTGTCTAATGAAATATAGAAATCTATTCAAGTTGTATGTTGATAATGTTAGTTTGATAGTGATTGTTTTATAGGTTAAAGTAAAGATAAACACTACTACTATGAATACTACTACTAGCACTATTATTATTATTATTATTATTACTACTACTACTGATATAAATTATTTTTACTCTATCATACACAATATCATACCTATTATCATTTCATAACCATATTGTTGGCTCTTCAGTTGATCGTAAACTAACATGGACAATGAAGATCATTTGAAATATAAAGAAATAGATTGTTTGGTTTGAATTAATATTCTTTTTTGAAAGAAAAAAATGTTGTTCGATTCTACAAAACTGTTGTTATTATCATTATTATTATTGTTGGTATTCTAAGGAGAAACAAGCATACCTACTAAGAAAAATAAGTAGAGAGACGAACTGTTCATAATTGAGGGAATGATTTTTAAGTTTATGAGTACAATGTTAGAATGAACAGAAATGCGATGAACATTAGTCACAAGATTGTTTATCAGTAGTATGTTAGTAGAACACGGCTTCAAATTTGTTCCAGTTGTCAGACGGAGAGAATAGATTCAGTAAATCCAAAACACGGCGTAAGCAAAACACTTAAAGATCAGATGAGAAGACAGTTTAGATTACAGAATACATTACAAGATGCAAATGTATGATTGAAGGCTACATTTACATATTATGTAAACACTGTAGTCTTACGTAATTATCTTGTTCGATAGCAGTATCTTTAAACAGAACTCTGTCAGTTTAAGATGGTCAAATAATTTTTTATTGCCGCTTTCGAGTAAAATTATTAATCGTAAGTGTATCAGATGTTCAACTCTATCTATGTAGATTATACATAGCATACAAAATAACAATATCCTTAAAATCTACCATTGAACTTTTATCCTTAAATAAATCTTATACTAGTAATTTGAAATAAGTTAAACATTAAATAGATAATAATAAAATCAATAATTTATTTGTAAAATTTCGATGAGTAGAAAAATCGATTCTTGATGTTTCGTCGTTTAGTATCAGTTACTTCTTCAGAGGATATATAAATAGCCGAATTATGCTAAGACAAACTATATATATATATGTAATAGTTGAATTCATGGGTCGATTGAAGCTAGATCACCATGGAAAACCTGAAAGCAGTGAACGGTCGTTTCGTCCTAGCATAGGACTCCTCAGCAGTGTGCATCCACAAATCCCCCCCGCGCGAGCGCTTAACCATTAGTCCACTTAGCCGGCATCCATACTAAGACGAAACGGCCATCCAGTGCTTCTAGGTTTTCCATGGTGGTGTAGATTCAATTGACTCATGGTTTCAACTATTAAAATTTCTAAAATCTCCACAAAACCCTTCTGAAAATGTGCATATCTTAAAACCTGAATTACTAGTGATTATTAGAACAATGAAAGAATAATCCATCTGACTGACTAAATGATTAAAACATTATGATTATGTGTAAGAAGATAACAGTTAAAGGAAATGAAAACTATGAATACAAACCATCTTTTAAAATGAAACTATAAACTGGCATGAATTCGCCATTTAGCACATTTCATAAAAGTTTTAATATGGATATTAGTTAAAAAAAGAGAGAATGTCGTGTTACTTACAACTTGTCCAATGCATATCCAATAACTGATTACTCATTGAGTAATAATTAATGTCATATATATATAATCCTTAATTTTTGATCGAATTCTGTCGATTAAATCATAATGTGGACACTAGTCTAAGCCACTTAACATTCAATGCATTATGTTGATATCAAGTTGTAATTCGAATAGCGCTAAAGAACTAGACAATCATGACATTGATTGTTACTCACTGACCCATCAATTGTAAATATTTCAGGCCTATAAAACGCTTCAGTCACAAGCAAAATAACGTAGTAGTAATGTCTCAGACTGTGAAACAGTAACAAGTGGTTGTACTCGCCAGTTCTTCAAACACTGAAAGTATACTTTGCTGATGAATGTGGAACATCACGATACGTAGACGCAGGATTCCTATAGGCTACGTTCAACCATCTAACATAGATACTAAAATTTATTAATATACGTTTAGATTATTTGACCCAAGTATCTGTTGTCAGTTACACCAACAAAAAACAATATATGTAGCTTCAGGACTCTAATATAGAAAGTATGCCTTTTAACTTATTCCTGTGGTAAAATCTATAACAGCAGAAACTCCATTATTTCAATACATTAAAAGAACCTTAACTTCAAAATACTTTCCATAGATAGTTTGACTACTAATAAGTAGCTAATTTACATGTTAGAATATTTTTCTGGAAAAAATCAGTGATTTTAGTTATCAAACATTTAAGTAACTTTTGGATATTACTCAAGTGTTTATCATATAGATAGACAAAATCAATACTGATTTATTACTTACAGAATTTGAATTATTTGCTAATGTTCCTTGAGTTGGATTTGCTGCAGCGGCAGCCGCTGCTGCCGCTGCCAATGGACCAACACCAGTTTGGGCTAATAATTGTTGTTGTAGCAATTGAAACTGTACATTTCTCATAATCATATTATTTCGACCATTTTGTATTAATTGTTCACGTAAATGTTGTGGTGGATGCAAATACTTACAAGGTGGATCTCGACGTTGACATTTACCCTACAACAAGAAAATAATAAAAGTTTTCATTCAATTAAAGTACGAAGCAGAAGAAAATAACTTCAAAAACCATTTGAAAATTGTTTGTTTATTTAAGATCGAATATTGAATGAAAATTGTATCACTGTATGAATAAAAAGTCATCTATGATCTTAAAATGATTATTTTGAAAGTGATTCTCTTAATGGAGTAGTATCATTTTGGAAATCATTGGAAAGAAAAGAAAATATTTGGCAACCCTTTTGATTTAAATCCCTTAACAAGTGTACACCTTCAACTCGAAGTATAATTATCCATTGAGTCATTAGGTATCCCAATGAATAAATAGTAACTGAAAAGAAAGATTGCCCAGGACAGAGTTGGGCGGGAAATACTGGTTGGCGGCTTATAATCCTCCACGAGAGGTAAGAGGATTATATACATAACTTGTGACTAAGTCCCATAATAAAGTCGATATTTCAACAGCGTTTATCGGCATCAACGGAAAAACAAATTTGAATAATGATAATAATAATAATAATAATAATAATAATAATGAATATCATACTCATCCAAAATTTCACAACTAAACACAATTCTAAAATCGATTGTTTGTCAATAACAAATAAATATTGAGTCTTATCTATCAACATATACTGGTTTAAGTCAATAATCGACGTCTACACTGTGATCAAACATAAACAGCTACACATACTCCCACTACTAATACTAATACTAATATCACCATTATTATTATTATTATTATTATTATTATTATTATTATTATTACGAATACTAGTGCTAATACTACTATTTAATAGCTCACATTAATACCAAAAATAATTTAATTCACAAATACTAAATAATCTCAATATTGGATAGTTGTGTATGTCATTTTGCTTATAAATAACTATTTAACATTCGAAATATTACAAGAAAACAATCATATTCAGAAAAAAAGAAAAGAGAGATAGTAGGAGAAGAAAAAAAAGAGGAATGTCAGAATATATATATGTACCGACCACAGCAGTCATTCGAAATAGCAACCTAATAATATGACAAAATCTGTACAGATAGGCAAGAGCAACAAAGTCTGTTTCCTTTTCATTGTCTCCTCTCCCCTCTCACTTCCTTGCATACCTGTCAAGTTGATATGTATTGATATGGTAATGAACAGAGAAAAGTATAATTTAATATAGAGTTGGAGGTAAAATACATACACAATCATGATTAAATCATATGTACATATAAACGAATACAATGTTTACAAGAGTGTATCTATTATTTTCTTGTCTCCATCTTCACTTCTTCCTATTCTTGTCTATTTTCTCCATTTTCATTACTTCAATAATAAAATATATTAATTTGATACCGTTAAATACGAATAACAGTATTGATTTATAAAATACTACACAGATGATAAAGTTCTCCTTCTTTTTGATTATAAATAAATAACTTCTATCTTCTATTTCATTCATTTCATTTCTTCTCTGTTTTCTTTCTTTATATTTGTGTTTATTAAGAAGAGTATTTTCAGTGGTTTTTTTTCAATAACATGTATATTTCATTAATTGTCATTGATATATATACATATATATGTATATATTGATTGAGATCAGAAATCGATCGATGTTAGGCCACCAGTGAAAATCTGGAAGCACTGGACAGTCGTTTCGTGGATGTGCACTGCTGAAGAGTCCCATACTAGGACGAAACGGCCGTCTAGTGCTTCCAGATTCTCAATGGTGGTCTAACATTGATCGATTCATGATCTCAATCAATGTGAATGGAAGTTTACTTTATTTTATCTTTATTGAATATTATCATTGATGTTACTATATTTCTGAAGAAAGTAAAAAGAAATCATGAAAATCAATAGAATTATTGAAAAGTAAAAGGTATTTTATAAGTTCTTTTGATGCTTACATCAATGTTTCTCAGAATATTTACAATATTGATGACATATTCGGGGTTTATGAGATTACCGTTTGAAAACAAGTGTATTGTATAAATTGAGAATAAAGACTTAGAATTTATCGATGTACAATATCTATTTTTACAGTTCGACTATTACCATCCACTTACATTAACGGATAATCGTTTAATCCTGATAGATCTCGACCCGATCAATCAGGTTTCTTTTTACCTTACTGTTCTTACAATGTATACGATCCGGTGCACACAAATATAGAAACTAAGGCGAAAGAGAAAAATGGAAAGAACTGTATAACATATTGTTATAATTGGATATGTGGTATAAATAAATGATAGTTTGAATTCCCTATTATAATCAGATAGGCAATCGTATTCAGAAATCGATTCTGTTAGCAAACACTTATTCGGCCATATATAAATCACACAAGTAACTTATTAGTCAACTATTCCAATATGATAAAAATATAATCCCTTTAGATTAGACCAAGTTATTGAAAGCTATATAAAATCAATGTCTGTTTAAGTTGACTAGTTAAAGGACGGAGCGCAGAGACTCATACAATAGTAATAATAATAATAATAATAATAATAATAATAGTGTATCAGTTCAAGTGGTGTCATGTTGTAGCGGAGCTATTTTCTTTTAAAGTGTGACTTGACTTTATTATTTTGCGAACTAATTCTAAAACATTCAATACAATCCTATCTTTCCAATCGATTTACCATCATATTATCTTGACTTAACCACAATAAGGATATTTACTATCTAATCTTTATTTTATCTTTGTACTATAAATCAGTATCGCTTCAATTCAGTATACTGTAGCCATTTTTTTCTCTTATCAGTACTATATTAATCTAAGATAAACACAATAATGTTTACTTATTACTACTGATACAAATTTATTTTTGATTACACTTATCTACACATAAACATACAGGCGTACACAATGTATCATCCAATATACAAACAGCCCTTTTTGATGTTTTCCCTTGATTAAACAACAACAAACAAACAAACAAAGAAAAACAAATCTACCTAAATGAATTCTTTCTAATTTTTTTTCAGCCTGGAATTCGATTTATTTATTGTTCATCATTTATTGTATGTTGGAAGATTACATTGTTTGCTTCAAATCAATCATTGAAATAAACAAGAATGGCTCTGACAGAAAGAATGAAAAATCGTCTAAAGTAATCTGTTTCGTTTTTTTTTCTTCTGTTATAAGCAAGTATAATTTGGAATTTGAAATTAGTTGACATTAAAGAGTTAGCTAAGGAGGGAACAATTAGAAACTGTGGGCGGATTGTTGTTACATCCTAGTTTGAAATTATTCAGCGATGTCCCATACCCCCTTCCTGTTGATGAGATTGATTTGTCGCCTGTTAGAAACATTATCTGTAAACCGTTAAATTCCTAATCGGGTCACGAATGTCGTAATTTATAGAGACTCAAACTAAAACAAAATAGTTGTTCGGTCTTTTTTTTAATAATTTTATCAATGTATCGAATTTTTCATCTGTTCTTTTCGAGACCAAATAATTATATATTCAGTATTCTACTACCGATACTATGATTACTTCAATGCGTTTGATTTACAACTATTTTTGATACATTTCGCTTTTGCTATCCCGTTAAGAAGTACTATAACTTCAATGGTTTATAGTTCACTAACTGATTGACTGTAGCGAATGATCGTTGGTAGTTGTTTAGCTTTAATTTCCTCACTAATAATTTTATTAATTCCTATATTTACAATTGAACGTTATTGATTACTATTTTCACAATTTTTCACAATAATCATAGAGATGACCTTGACATTCATGTTTTTTTACCAATCATACTTGATTCAAGTTACCTAAAACGTGTTATTAGAACCTGTTTGTAAATAATAGGCCTTGTTTTAATGAATGTATTAGGAGGTGTGAAAACACTTAATGCTTCATGTAATACAAATAAAAAGACAGAATCTGAACAATTTAGTCTAGTAACAATATCATGTTTTATTTATTTTCAGAAGGGGGTTTTGTGGAAATTTTAGTAATTCAATGGTTGAATTGGATTGGTTGAAGCTAGACAGTAACATCGCTGGATGCCAGCTCAGTGATCTAGAGGTTAGGCGTTCGCTCGCGAGACTGATAGGTCCTGCGTTCAAATCCCGCGAGTGAGACTGCAGATGCGCGCTGCTCAGGAGTCTCATACTAGGGCGAAACGGCTGTTCAGTGCTTCCAGGTTTTTCATGATAGTCTAGCTTCAATTGACTCATGAATTCAACCATTAGATTATATTCATTTGTCTAATATAACAAGTAATTTTACAGTATTATTTGCCGAAATGATTTTACAAATACAAAAGGAGTTCTATTTTTCTATTATTTGGGTATAAAAAATATTTAACCCGTAGACTATATTACTATCATCTTGCATAGTGTTGTTACCCGTTCGTTCCATTGGCCTAAAATCCAATACGTTTAAAAGTTTTATAATCTTCAAATGTCCGCTAATGACATTATTTCAAAATAGTTATTTATCATTGATATTGATTAGCTAATTAATACCATTTACGGATCAAAGCTTACCTCAATCTAGTATGATTATTGTCTACCATTGGATACAGTATTACGTTAAGCGGTTAGAGATAATCCATTAAGAAATTCTAGAATTTTATTTTAAAGCAATTAGTCCCTTTTATGAATTTCGATAGAGCAATTAGAAGACGAAGTTGATCTGAAAAATGTGATGTATTTGCGCTATATATTTCGAACAATCTGGTTACACATATACATGTCAGGGCATTTTTATAATGTATCACGCCAATACATCACATTTTTAGATCAACTCCATCTTCTGATTATATTTTATTCTAGTTATAAAAAAGTAGCAAACAAGGTGTAACAATAAAGCTTACAGACAATGACACTCTCTTCACTGTGACATGGAACTGTGTCATCTGGGAACACAATTCAATGAATGATTAATAAATTAATTGTGCTGTTGAACAATTACTTTCTTAATCTTGTACAAAATGTAACATCATATTGTGGTGAGCAAGAACACCAGTGAGGACAATCGAATGTATTTGACACAAAATTACAGGACTTATTAATAAAATCTAACAATCAAATAGTAAATACGTAATTTGCAAAATGTCCATCATTTGTCTCTTAATGACTCAGACTTCATTGTTCTTGCATTTTCATACAAATTGCATTCTGTTCCCATTCTTTACTGTTCGATCCTCTTGTGTCTCTGCTGCCAGACATTCTGTTCCTGACTAACATCATATACTACTTATGTCGATATAAGTAGAACACATCAAAATATATCGAATTATTTAAACCACTATTCATAAAATAATCACTTAGATACAACTTGATCCTCACTAAGGAATAAAAAATGTGACCAGTTAATTTCCATATCATGAAATTACAAAACTTTTATCAGTAGATTAAATTTGCTTAGTCATCAAATATTTATACAATGGAAAATTGGAATTATTTTACTTATAAAAGAATAAAGTGAACAGTTTTGTGGGGTAATGTCACAGATATGTAAAAACTAAATCCCTTTTTTATTTTAGAATTGAACGTAGACGGATACAAATTCTAGGGTTTGTTTAATTTTCTCTTATTAATAAAATAATCAAATTAATAAAAGAAAAACTCTTTATATTATTATACTATAAATCGAAAGAAATACGCAAACGGAAGATAAGTGGGTAAGAAAGTAAGTCAGTCAGTTAGTAAGTAAGTAAACAACTACTAACGACAAAAGGAAGTTACAAACGAATAAATATAAGAAGAAGAAGAAGAAGAAGGAAGGAAAGAAAGAAAGAAAGAAACGTGAAAGAAAATCTACCATCATTTATCAAACCAGATTTTCTTCTATACATATATCTATATGTGCCGTCGTTAAAAATTCCAGTTCCATTTTTGATCTTTTAAAAATAAAATTTGACATGAAATTAGTTGGTTAAATGTTTGTTTGTTTGTTCCGAGGAACAGCCATTTGCACATACCCAACTAGTATACATACATTCATTCATGTATAACGAGGGAACAGAGAAGAAAAAAACCAAAACCATGTTAAAACAAAGAAAGAGAGAGATTGAATTAAAAGTAGATGTGTAGAAGGAGAATAGAAATTGCAACATACATACAAACATAACCGGATGATGAAAAATTTCAACATTATGTTTATCATCAGTTTTTAAGTAAAACTGAATGACAGATAGCAGTAAAATCCAGAATTTGTATTTCGTCATACTCGGAACATCTCAGCTGAATGTTCTCTTATTACTATGTTGATGTTTACACTAAAAGTTAAACCTAGAACCTTTCGCTTGAGCTTATTGATTACAGATCGACAAAAACAATCGTCTCAGTGTTTATTGTTAGCAATTACTCAAATTTACACAAAACTTATGACTTAAAGTCAATAATGAAGTATTCCACTGAGAATATACACATGTCAATAGATATTGATCGATTCTAGTTTCTAGTATTAACAACTGAAATATTCCCGTTTCTACTAACAAATCGGAATTAGTTATCATTGATATATATTATTATATTTTTGTTGAAATAGGGATCTTTTGAGAATAAAATCAACTACTTCTGAAGAACCAAATGATAATGTGGATCATTTAGAATCTCCTTTGAATAGTTTCAACTTCATAATAATAATATATACTGTGCTAAATTCGGGTCACTTTACAAAAAAAGTCCATTTACATCTTTTATGCAAATAATCAAATTAACTAATGACATTGGCAACATGACCCTGCAATTATATTTATTTAAATACAGTAACTTGCTAAAACTTCTAGGCCATCGTATTTCCAATACATAGATTTATTTCTCTGAAATTTTGATGTCTGGCAATCATATTGAATTACATGACTTTATGAAATGTTCACAATCGTATCATGAATATAATTATTGAAATATTCAGAAGGTACCATTAACATGATGCTTCGTATAGTTCCTGGGTCTTGTTTGTCTGTCCTTTGGAGAAATAAGAGAGAAGTACCTTAAAATTCATACATCAAATATATGAAAAGAGATGTGTCATGAGGGTAAGACTGATTGTGAACATCTATAGATGAATATATTCATTGTAGTGAATCAATGTTTGGACACTTTCTATACATCTTTTGTTGAATATTCACGAGTTAAATCCCTGTGAAAGGATGATTTTATTGTAGTTTTATATATTTATTTTGCTGAATATTCTTTATGTCATTGAATAAAGCAAGTATTACTATCATTATTTATGAAAAGAATAGAACGTGTTTGAGTTTATTAACCAAAACAAATCTCCATTTATACAAATTAGGATAAGATATTAGATATAGTAACCGAACCGAAGCATTTTTCAATGAGAGATCTATAAAGAATCTTGATCAGCATTTTCTAATCGACATCATGTAAAATGTATGTATAGAATGTAATATTCCACACCATTTTTGTAAATAAGTAAACATACAAATATATATGTTGTTTGATTTGAAGGTCTTTCAGGAGCTTAGCAATATATATAAACATATTGCAGTGGCTTTGTTTCGTTAACCAATCACCCTCGTAACCATTATTATATAAACCTCAACGGTATTTGAAATTAGAAGGCAAAGAGAAGCGGCAACTACAGTTTATTAGCGGATAGCGCAGATCACAAAGCTATAAGCATATTGAGCGTATTTGAAGCGGAGAGGCGCATAAGTATATACGAGCGATTACATAGGTAAATGTTTAGTGAAATTGCGCAAGGGCGCAGCAAGGCAAAGCAAAGGCTAATAATAGGATTTCATTACATATATACATGGGGAGGTGGATGAATCATCGAGTGATATTTAAGCGATCAATATTTTAACTAGTCTATCATGCTATCTAAAAAGCTTGTGACTTAAGGCTATATCGAGGCAATCCGCACAGGATGCACATATGTCAACATAAGACTGATCAATAGCAGTCCTAAATAATAATGAGAAGATACAAGTAAAACAACACCAAGTGAATTTAAACTTCACCCCATTTACACAAGCAGGTGACCATCAGGACTCAGTAGGTAAGTGGATAACGCGAACGGTACTGGGTTGGAGTCCCGGAGTGAACATCAACTCTGAGATGCAGGTACATCCAGTCGACGAGTCCTAAATAGGACGAAACGCGCATCCTGAATTCCACTGCTAACCACTATCCATCTTTGTTTATAAAAAGATTTTTCTTTTTCATTCCTTAAAGCAAAGTATATTTGTGATGATAGATCTATTCATTCAACAGTAGATGAGTTTATGTTCAATTTATTTTCAAGGTCCTAAATAGCTTCACAATAGATTCCTTATAGTTTTATGGTATTTATATGTGACACTCATTGAAAATCTGGTAAAATAATTTTATAAAACAATAAACTATTAATTATCCAGCATAAATTCGTAAATTCTAATCTTTTTTAATTATTTGTAAGATGCCAGAGTATCTGTTATTCAGTTCAGTTCAGTAATAACGTGATGATTAGGATGATACATTCATTTAAATGTAGGAAAATAGGATTACAATCAATAAGCACTTTCATCATCATCATATCTTTCCAATCAGATCATAACAAAATATCAGAAGGAGTCTTGTAGATATTATAGTAATTTTAATAGTTGAGATCATAAGTCAATTGAAGCTAGGTCATCACGAAAAACCTGGAAGCACTAGACAGCCGTTTCGTCCTACTGTGGGACTCTTCAGCAATGCGCATCCACGGTCCCACTTGCTGGATTTGAACGCAGGACCTATCTCGCGAGGTGGTATCGTGGATGCGCACTTCTGAGTAGTCCCATACTGGGATGAAACGGTCGTCCAGTGCTTCCAGGTTATCCATCGTGGCTCATGATAACAGAAAAGATTTTTTCTTACTTATCTTTAACAATTTAAGCACTAAAAACACAGATATTATTCATGAAACTCTTTCACAAATGTGAATACTAAGTTGGCACTTGTTTTCGAACTTTCAGCAAAAAAACAAGGAAAAGTTACCAACTTATTTCCAATTGGCTTAAAAGTATATATACACTACTATATTAGTAAATAATAAAACCAATGAACTAAACAATCAATCAATTGTCGATGGAATTATAGACAACTTACTTTAATTGAATCATAGCAACAAATAACACGTCCACTTTGTACATCGACATGTGTTGGTGGATGAGCGAATTTACATTCATTTTCATCTCTTGAACATTGATTTCGTTGATATTGTCGGCATACTTCAAGTGTTAACCATCTGGAATCTTTAATATTCGACGGTAGACCAGCTGATGCAGCTGCAGCGGCAGTTAACGCAGCAACCGCTGCCGCTGCTGCTGCGGCTGTACTCGATGTGTACATACCATTATTGTTAGCATTATTATTACCATTACTGTTATTAGTTGTATTATTTGGAAACTGACTAGAATTTTCATTGGAATTTAATGTTGATGAATTTGGTGGTGGGAATGGTGTAAAATGTGGATAAACCACTGTCGCTGCTCCAGTTGGATCACTAAGACCAACACTATGAAGCATGATAGAATTAAGAGAGTAGTAAACAAGTATGTATATGTGTGTGTGCACACAGCCAATCAATCACGTACACAGACGTACGTATATGTTTATTTATTTATTTACACAAGAACGCATACACACGTACAAAATTGGTCGATCCAGTTAATTCTTCTTGATCTGGAAAGAAAATATCATTTTAAAAAAAACCGTCAGTTTTCGTTAAGCAGGAGGATACTGATTAAAAAATTGATCAAACGTATCGAGTAGTGAGTGTATATTGGCATATGAATTAATTATTAAGAGTATGAGAAGTGTTGGGGTATCGCTTATGATCGTGAATATATATTACGTAACACATTTACCAAGGACAAGTTTATGTACTGTAGTTTGTACCATACTATTTTTTAAGGGATAACAACACCACTTATCTACTCACACCAAAGTAATTGGAGTAGACAATGAACCTAAGACCAATTGGTCGAAATCTAGGTGTTTTAGCCCTCGACCAATTAGTACCATAAATATGAAGAGGGTAACAGATTGTTAATTAGTGTCAAGTTATCTATATTTTGCTTTCATATATCAGCACCGTACCTCACTAAATGATATATTGTTAAAGTATTCAAAAGTGATACAGAAATGAAGGTTTTTTTGTTACACTTTTGTTGAAATAAGTTCTATTCCATTTCATAAACTTTCTAACATGTCCAGTACCTATTATCTGAATTTTTGGCAAATATTCAACAATATTTCTTGATATGACATTTGCATAATTTGGAAAATCCCTCCTATCACTAAACGTTTGTTAATTTAAAAATTACGTAATCAAATTTAAAATGATTAGTAAAATTCTTATTGAGATCATGAACCGATCCATGTCAGATCACTATTGAAAAGCTGGAAGCACTGAATAGCCGTTTTTTCCTAGTATGAAACTCCTCAGCATATATATAATTGTACAGTGTTGAGAATAAGCTCATTGAAAAAAGGATTCCTTTGTTGAATAAGTTCTTTTACAATTTGGGAAACTTTGAAGAATCACCTGAGGTTTTAGATATTTTGTTTCCGAATCAATTAGAATATAATAATAATAAACATAAGTCTCTTTTTTATCTCAAAATAGCTTAATAGCTTAACATGTTTTCTGTAGTTTACACCACTACAAACTGACTTACGTCATACAAATAATGAAAACTAAAAGGCTTTAAACAGTCGTTTCATCCTTGTGTGCCATTCCAACTATGTCGGTTGTGAAGCAATTACCCACGAATGGTGCTGAATAATGGTTATATAATATCATAAATTCATTGAAGTTAGAAATGTGAACCATTAGATGTCAACTTAATGATAAGCTAATTCGATCTCTAATGCGGTCAATATCTGTCTAACAAAAGTCAGTTCATAATGTAAACTGTAATACTCTACAATTTCCACAAACTATTTTATATAACATGTGAAGCTTAACAGAATACATTGTCTAAATAATTAGATTATGTCAAAATTTGTTATATCTAGAGCTTAGACGCTTAATATACCGCGTACAACTTGAGCACTAGAGCTCTAGGACCTTCCAAGTCGTAAATGAGAAGACAAAAGACAAATAGAAGGAATACTATTCCAAACAGTGTCAAATATGGTACAAAACTCCTAGGTATTTATATATTTTTTAGTAAAAAACAAAATCATCATTATAGTCATCCAATCTGCATACAGGGAGTTTTTAGCATTTGTTCAATAGGGAAGCTGCACGTAGGGATTCCAGAATATTCTTCCAGAAGATGATTAGATGGAATATCTTCGGCTCTTTCTGAGCTCCTTAGAGCTTCCTTGAGTTCACCCGTGGGCTATCCTCACAATATTATTCGCTTGTGTCAAAAACAATCCGACAAAATAATTGGTAAAACACATGTTATGATACAAGAAATATTATCTAAGTTATTTTTGTATCGATTTCTATTGGTTATTTAACATTCTACCATAATATGATGTAGTTATAACTCTCAACGGAAATAAATGGTATCAGCTGTTATCAATGATGAACGCTTTCATAGGAAGAAAAAAAGGACAATCGATAATTTCCACATAGATACTTATTGTGTAGTAACACATAATCAACCTACTATTCTTATTATTAAAAATTAAACAATCAAAATATTAACCTGAAACAGCAATTATTATTAAACTTAAAAACCATCTAGTTACGAATATGTGCATTAATTACGAAGAAGAAGAAAAGTATTGTAATCCAAAGAGATAATTGTTTAATACTATTTAACTAATTTAATAATCATTCCCATAGTTGATCTAAACAATACCAAGTGAATTTCAACTTCACCCCATTGCACAAGCAAGTAACTAACAGGACTCAGTAGTGAAGTGGATAACGCGATGGCGTTTGAAGCGAATGGTACTGTGTTCGAGTCCCAGAGTGACTCTGAGATGCGGGTACATCCAGCTGACGAGTCTCGAATAGGACGAAACGCGCATCCTGGATTCCACTGCTAGCCACTATCTATCTTTGCTTAATAATTCATCATGTTTGAAAAATTACAATCTTTATTTTAAATCATCAATAAATGTTTTATACTATAATAATGATTACAAGTATTATTCATTTTCATTAAATTTTATTTTAATAAATAATCTATTTAAGTAATGATAATAATTCCCATTACAAAATGATATTTAAAGAAAGTATCCTAAAGATAGAAAACTATCAGATAACTGTTGTGTTTTTTTTCATTCTGATCTAGCACTAAGAAATTGATGTACATTCAATAAACTTTGCAAAAGAATTGAAACTACGATAAATTCAAAGTTTTTTGACAAGTAGACAGTAGTCACCTTGCCGAAATATCAATAGTTTCTGTGTTGTTTTTTTTTCAACTGCAGTCAATTTAGATTGATATTGTGAATGGATCAATGTTAGACCATTATTGAGAACCTGAACGGCCGTTTTGTTCTAGTATGGGACTCGTGAGAAGTGTGCATCCACGATCTCGCATATGAGACTCGAACCCAGGACCTACGGTCTCGCGTATGAACGCTTAACCTCTAGACCACTGAGCTTATATCAAACGGTGTTAATGGTTAACTTCAATCAATCCATGATATTGCGCTACCGCCCACCATTGTTCTCAGTGAGTAACTGCCTCGCAACAGACCTGGTTGGACTCGACTGGTTACGGCTTCTCACTAGAATTTAGTCAATTTACTGGTGAAATACGATCTTCCATTTGGCGTCATCATTTGTCAATAATTGCTTAACATATAATCTCTAGTTGATTCTAGATGGCACTGATAAGTTTGGTACTCGAGTTTTCTTATACTCCCCTAGAAAGAAGGCTGGAAGTGTGAACAGAAGTTTTACTACAGGGTTAAATTATGTACAGGAAAGGAGATTTATTTGGATATGGATGCTCTTTATGTGTTGGAGGAATCTAGAAACTCATTAAATTTAATGCAATAATCCCATCAGAGTGTAACGCACATTCTATTGTATCTCTAGAAATCTCTTGGAAGTTCTCCCTTAGCACTTGTTGGGTGATGTGTTTCCAACATTTTCCCAGATTCTGAGGAATTCTCGAAGACTCCCAACAGTCACGACGCACCATTAGAACTTAAATAAATCATCATTGAATATGTCTACCATAACTAGTCACAGCCTAGCAATTCTATTACTAACATCATTCTTAGATGAAATCCTCCGTCGAAAACATGTTTATTTCATACAAATATGACAGCAAACAAATTTAATGAACGAGAGAAATATTTAGTAAAAATCATTTCTTACAAACATAGTGTGGTATATGTTACTCATGTTGACAGATATAAGTAGTATATAGCACCAACCAAAAGTGGAAGGCCTGGCAGCAGAAGATTGAAATATAGAGAACAGGAAGGAAATCGTAGAGCAATCGAGATAACAACAGAATTACAGGAATAATGAAATATATAAAGGGCAGTGCAAAAAATGTGCAAATGATGTGTTTGATGTATGATTTTCATATTTTGCTAATCAGCTATGTAATTTTATATTCAACAATAAAGTGGTTTTCCCCATCAATACTTTAGAAAATTTTAAATACTATAAACTTCCTAAGGGCAAACTAGGTTATTCTTATAGTCGTATACAGACGAATTGAAGTGCATTGCACTAGCTATATACAATGTAATAAACTATAGGATATTTATATTCGTTCACTATGTTTCATAGAACTGACAGCCTCAAAATTTTTGATGTGTCCAAATTCTTGAACAGTTTACATCATACACAAGTATACACATATGCATGTACATACACACACACATGCACAATCAAATAAAGTTAGCGTAACTCTACAAAATAACAACTAACATCCCGTTAAAGCAAAAAAATGTTATTTCTTAGAATTCAATTAATCATGCGTAAATGTGTTCCTTTTTAGGAAAAAAGCAAAAGGCTATACACGTACACACTGAAGACTTGGCATTCTTTATTTTCTAAGAATGTGTGTATGTGCACAATAGTAAGTGATTATAATCAGTTAGAAATTGTTTTTAACAATGCAATCTAGTGATTAAACACAAAGTCTTGCATGATCTGTAGAATAGAATCGACATTGATAGCTAGACACTGGGATATTTGTTACAACTCAATAAACGATGAGTGTTAAAATATCAATTTTGAGGGAGATCAGCCTGTAGCCTCAATAGTTCTATAATTACGTCTCCGATTATGACACTTAAAAATTTCTTAACATTCTTTTTATTTCTTTTAATGAACATGCGTTTCATCTGGAACTACAATTAAAAGGTTAACCTACTTTAAAAACAATCTTATAACATCACCCTAATTGTGGTGTTAAGTAATATTTACTATTAATGTTATAAATACTCAGTGTTGTAGAAATGAAGTAAAGTTATACGTAATAATCTCAAAACTAATAAAATGACTCGATATTTCAAATGGACTAATAAACTAAGCAAATAATTCGCAAAGACTACTTAAAAAACAATGCTACTGTCGAGATCATGAATGTTTACTACCATTGAGTAGTCCCAAAACAGGACGTGAAATTTGTACAGTACTCCTTGGATTGCAGTGACGCAATTCGGAATACCATAGAAGACCGGGAAGCACTAGACAGTTGTTTTCGTTCTAGTACGAGACTACTCCTCAGGAGTGCGCACTGATG